ACCCTCCCTATTTCTCCCCCTCAACATCTCCCCCTCCCCATTTTCCTTTTTTTCACAGGTCTAGAAATTATGCTAATTCTGACAATCCCTTTACCTATTGTGCTCCCCCAGATTTTGGCGGACACGCTGATCAACTTGCACGCGGAGAATCTGGGCAACGAGTTCTACCAGCCGGTGCACACGTACGTGCTGAACCCTAAGTCTATCACCATGGAGGAGCTATACGGGGGCGTGGACCGGATCACGCAGGAGTGGAAGGACGGGCTGATGGGGCTCACTGTTAGACATGCTGTACAGGTGTGTGTCTGTTTGTGTGTCTGTGTGTGTGTGTGTCTGTGATAGATAGGATCACGCAGGAGTGGAAGGATGGGCTGATGGGGCTCACTGTCAGACATGCTGTACAGGTGTGTGTCTGTGTGTGTGTCTGTGTGTGTGTCTGTGTGTGTGTCTGTTTGTGTGTGTCTGTGTGTCTGTGATAGATAGGATCATGCAGGAGTGGAAGGACGGGCTGATGGGACTCACTGTTAGACATGCTGTACAGGTGTGTGTCTGTTTGTGTGTGTCTGTGTGTCTGTGATAGATAGGATCACGCAGGAGTGGAAGGACGGGCTGATGGGGCTCACTGTTAGACATGCTGTACAGGTGTGTGTCTGTTTGTGTGTCTGTTTGTATATCTGTTTGTGTGTCTGTCTGTGTGTCTGTCTGTGTGTGTGTCTGTGTGTGTGTGTGATAGATAGGATCACGCAGGAGTGGAAGGACGGGCTGATGGGGCTCACTGTCAGACACGCTGTACAGGTGTGTGTCTGTGTGTGTGTCTGTTTGTGTGTCTGTCTGTGTGTCTGTTTGTGTGTCTGTTTGTGTGTCTGTCTGTGTGTTTGTCTGTGTGTCTGTGTGTGTGTTTATCTGTGTGTGTGTCTGTGATAGACAGGATCACGCAGGAGTGGAAGGACTGGCTGATGGGGCTGACTGTCCGGCACGCTGTGCAGCAGTGTGTCTGTTTGTGTGTCTGTCTGTGTGTCTGTTTGTGTGTCTGTCTGTGTGTGTGTCTGTCTGTGTGTGTGTTTGTGCATCTATGATAGATAGGATCACGCAGGAGTGGATTGTTTGCGATAGCCCAGTCGATGCGCTGTGAATTATGTCTGTCTGTCTGTCTGTGTGTCTGCCAATGCGTGTTTGTCCTACATATGCCCTCTCAATGTCCTCTATATGTCCCCC